CTCATCTGACCACAGAACAGTCTTCCATTTTGCCACACTCCATTTTAAATGACCTCTGGCCCAGTGCAAACGTCTGAGCTTGTGGAGCTTGCTTAGAAATGGCTTCCTCTTTGCACTGTAGAGTTTCAGCTGGCAACGGCAGATGGCACGGTGGATTGTGTTCACTGACAATGCTTTCTGGAAGTATTCCTGAGCCCATTCTGTTATTTCCTTGACAGTGGCGTTCCTGTTTGAAGTGCAGTGACGTTTAAGGGCCCGGAGATCACGAGCATCCAGTAGAGTTTTACGGCCTTGACCCTTACGCACAGTGATTGTTCCAGATTCTATGAATCTTTTGATGATGTTATGCACGGTTGATGATGATAACTTAAAAGTCTTTGCTATTTTACGCTGGGTAACACCATTCTGGTATTGCTGCACTATCTTTCTGTGCAACAATGGTGGAATTGGTGATCCTCTTACCATCTTGGCTTCTGAGAGACACTGACACTTTGAGAAGCTCTTTTTATACCCAATCATGTTGTCAGTTGACCTAATTAGTGTTAATTGGTCTTCCAGCTGTTCGCTATATGCTCAATTTCCTTTATTCCAGCCACTTATTGCTACTTGTCCCAACTTTTTTGGGATTTGTTGACACTGTGAAATTTTGAATCAACATATTTTTCCTTTAAAATAATACATTTACTCAGATTAAACTTGATCTGTCATCTATGTTATATTACGAATAAAATATTGACATTTGCCATCTCCACATCATTGCATTCAGTTTTTATTCACAATTTGTTTAGTGTCCCAACTTTTTTGGAGTCCGGTTTGTATAAGTGTATGAAGTTTCATGAAATTATCCTAAGTTAATCAAAAGTTATGGGTGGGACAAGAAAGTTTACATGCGTAAATGCATATACCGGTACGTATGTACGGGCAGTCTATGCCTGCATTTAGAGGGGTATATAAACTATTAAAAGTCTAAAAGAAAACCATTTCTCAATTATAAGAAAAAACATAAACAAGTCTATATTTCTATCCTTGTGATATTGTATTGACTTCCATTCATTTCTGTAGCCTAACCCTGGCACACACCTATACACAACAATCTGGCTCCTTGGAAACAACATTTAAAACATAGGGGTGGCTCAAGACTCCTGCACAGTACTGTGCATTTGCCATTTCAACAACCCTGTGTTTTTGTTATGTTATGAACTGTAACCACAGTAGTAAAACCCCTCCTTAGTGCTCAGACATCTGAGCCACAAGCTGCAGACTTCACAGGGTTAATCGAATGATGCCACTGCTCAAAAATGTCTGTTTAAGTGGTCTGAAACCAACTGCGCCAACCACAAAAATGATTTAATATTCTCTACAATATGTGCATGTATGTTTGTGTTGAGAGACTCAGTCATCAGAACAGAATATGATTTCATGTCTCCTGTACGTGATGACCAACTATGCTGTACTCTTCTGTAGACTCATATGAACAGCTACTGTAGCAAAGAATTCATAATCGCAGATTCACAGGTGTTGGCAGACAACAGGAAAAGTTCATGTATAAAAATTAAAGTTTCTTGAACCAAACCAATTGTTTGTTCAACAAATAAAGTTTACGTTGCAAGGTTTCAATCCATTACAGAGTAGTGCGTTACCAAGGGTCTTTTTGGAAACTGTGGTTCCAACTGTTTTAGATAATTGACAAGCTCCTCCTGTGGAGTTGTGGGCTTCATGGTCATCCTTACCCCATGACGCAAGATCTTGCATGGAGCTCCAGACGAAGGGTGACTGATTACTTTTTTTTTCTTTAATTTCTGATAACGTGACCCAGCACATCAAATCAAAGATTAAGTGAGATTTGGTCAAAAAGAGGTGGGCACATTTACAGATTTTTGGCTTTTTAAACTACATTTTGATACTTAGATCATCCTGATAACACAAGTTCCAGATATGGCTTCATTCACCTCACTAATTGTAATAACCACTGAAAAATCTGTCTGAATTTTATTTAATATGTATTTTAATGACGATTTCTTGACATCATTTGAAAGAGAAAACCTCAAACTATATTTGAATATTGGTATTTCCCAGCTGGTATTGAAAATGATTTTGCTAGCGTGCAAAGAAAATAGAAAAAAATCGAAGACTTCAGCTCAAAATAATCGTTATTGTTGTTGATGCTATTTAGAAAAGTGCTTCAAAACATTCTTTAGGGTTATCATTGGGACATTTTCATTCAAAAGACCTGTAAATAGGATATTTACTTGTTATATTATAACAAAATCCAATTATTGCAAATTTTTAACCAATACACTATTGTACATTACCCCAAAATGTGTTCAGTATAACTTCCACCTGAGTCTTTTATTTCTTATTTTTCTTTCAGGGCTTTTATTTTTGTGTATTTCCTGTGAAGTTACATGCAGCCATGTAAATGTTAGCTGGATTACAGCAAGAAAAGACAAGGGAACCCTGGGAACAAATTATTGTTTGTTTTAATATGTTTTATTGTTGTTAAAGGCGGGCAGCACGGTGGTGCAACTGGTAGAGCTGCTGCCTCTCAGCGAGCAGGTCCCTGGTTCAAATCCCGGTCCAGGGGTCTTTCTGGGTGGAGTTTGCATGTTCTCTCTGTGCATGCTTGGGTTTTCTCCGGGTACTCCGGTTTCCTCTCACAGACCAAAAACATGCATGTTAGGCTGATTGGTAACTCTAAATTGTCCCTAGGTGTGAGTGAGAGAGTGAATGGTTGTTTGTCTCGTTTGTCTCTATGTGTCCCTGTGATGGACTTGTGACCCGTCCAGGGTGTACCCCGCCCCTCACACAGTGATTGCTGGACATGGGCACCGGGTAAAAGATAATGGATGGATGGATGGATGTTGTTAAGGCAATGATGTAGTTATTTTATGCAAGTGTTGAGAAGTTCCATGTTACTGTGTTAATCGCACTATGAATAGCTCAATCTATTCTGGCTATTCTATTATATATATCTGGCTCTCCTCAGGGATGTGCGTTAAGCCCCCTCCTGTTTACTCTGCTCACGTATGATTGTGCAGCTGCCCATCCAGGCTGTCACATTGTAAAGTTTGCAGATGATACAGCGGTGGTGGGATGCATCACAAACAATGATGAGTCCAGCTACAGGCAAGAGGTGGAACACCTGGAGAGCTGGTGCAAAGAGAATAACCTTCACATCAATGTGAAGAAGACGAAGGAGATGATTGTGGACTTCAGAAGGAACTAAAACATCTACACCCCCCTGAACATAAGAGGATCTGCAGTGGAAGTGGTCTCCACCTACAAGTACTTGGGTGTAGACATGAATGACAACCTCAGCTGGAGCAACAACACCACCAGCCTGATCAAGAAAGCTCATCAGAGACTCTACTTCCTCAGACGGCTGAGGCGAGCTGGTCTGGGAAGCTCAGTCCTCACCTCCTTCTACAGGTGTGCAGTGGAGAGCATCCTGTGCTCCAGCATCAACGTGTGGCATGGAGGCTGCACAGCTGCAGAAAGAAAAGCTTTGCAGAGAGTGGTGAAGGCTGCACAGAAGATGTTGGAGTCTGTCTCCCCACCATCACAGACATCTACACCTCCAGATGCAGGAAGAGGGCCACCTGCATCATGAAGGACCACACTCACTCAGCACATGCAGTTTTTGCCCCGCTCCCATCAGGAAGGAGGTTGAGGAGCATTAAGTGTAGAACCACTAGGACTGAGGAACAGCTTCTACCCTGAGGCTGTTAGACTCATGAATCTCTAACCAGAATAATCACTGTGAAAAACCACATCATGTTGCTGCTGATCTGTTTCATGTTGCTGCTGATCTGTTTCAATGTTGATGTGTTCATGCGTGCTCATCTGCTCACAGACTCATGTTCATGTTTGTGGTGATGTTCAATGTTTTATGTTATGAGTGCTTAGTGTATATTTAGTTGATGTTTTTCTTAGTTCATATCTTAGATGTTATTACTGTTTTCCTTATACATTTTATTGTTGGATGTAACTGGGACCCCGTGTACATAATTTCGCTCCACCACATGTACCACATGAGGTGCGAATGACAATAAAGAATCTCTGACTCTGACTGTGTGCTATAAGGAGAACTTCAACACGCTACAAGTTTAAACTGAAAGTTTGTGTTTATGCACCAAAATCAATGTAAAAAGTCGATTGTTAATGTTTGTATGCTCATTGAAGAGACATTCATTGTTTGAGAAAGTAAGAGCTCATTTATGAGTTCAGTTAATTTTATGTCCTTTAGGTCTTATGGTGTTTTCATGACAAGAAGATTACAAAAACAAATACTGGTAAGGTAAAGTCTTGAAACATCAGTTTGGTTCACTGTTGTCTGGCTGGGGTTTGTAACAACTATAGCTGCTCCCTACAAACCAATTTGCAACTCAGTCCTTGGTTCAATAAGATCGGTCACTTGTTCGTACCATCAGTCGTCACCTTCCCACCAAGTTTCTACTGAAGGTCCATTCCAACCTTGTACAAATCCTGTGTCTGACTTCTTTTGACAGCTCTAAGCGTGATGAAAAGGTTGGAATAGAAAAAAATTGATTCAGTGGACAGGTGTGCTTTATACTCTCAACAAGTTAATGATGAGTGTTGCTGGCTGGTTTATTTATAATAATCAGTGTACCATACGAGCACATAACCAATTAATGGAACCAAGAACTCTAACTGGGTACAAATTTTATTCAATGATGTGTAAATCAGTTTACAAATTGTATGTACAGTTTTCGCTGAAACTTTAGTTATTATTCTGTCACTGCATTAAAATGTAACTATCAAAAAAAATGTGAGACTTTTCGTTTCTTTGTAAATAGGCAAACATTGAAAATATGCAGTGGATTAAATAATTACTGCCCCCACTGTAGTTACTACTGTATGTGTGCTGCAAAATCAAATCAGTGCATAACACCGCTGTAATCTTTATTCTTTTAGAAATGGGAGCTGCTCAACGTAAAAAGCTGATTTGTACATGGTAATGTGGTTTTAGTGTGTTTTACCTTTCTTCTGTAGCTCTGCCCTCTCCTTCTGTTGAATGTCTACTTCCCTGCCCAGGGCCTTCCTCTGCCGCTGCAGCTCACTACGGAGCACCGCAATACGCAGCTGCATGCACTCCCGCTCTTTCTTCTGTTCACAGAAACGAAAAACAAAAGGGAGGGAAAAATATTAAACATGTGGTTACAGCAAGATTCTGAGTTTATTACGTTCTGTGCAGATCCCAAAATTCCTACAAGCTCTGTCAGGAACAAGCTTTGTTTTTGCAGCCTGATCCCATGTCTCATTGATTTAATACATGTCCACTGAGAAAATGCTTGCAGTTAATATTTCAGAATCCTTTGTCAACAATTAAAGGCAAAAAAGAAAGAAAACGAGAACCATTTCACTGAGCCCCAAGATCAGTGTTACTGGTAAAACTTGTCGGTAATGTTCCCCAGTCGTGGGAACGGCTGGCTGCAAGTGAAGTGGTGCGAAGTTTCAACTTTTGAGGTTCAAACACCTGATGAAAAGATGGGAGTAAATGAGGCTCGAGGTCAAACCTGGATAATGCACATTCTTTTGGCAGCATCTTTATGAACATAATTATATTTTGATTCTGTATTCTTTTGTAGTCATCACTTTTTTATACTAAATATAATTTATACCAATAAGAAGTGCAAGTAGTCCCTCGCTAGTTCATTTTTCGCAGACCCGCTCTATCGCCGTTTTTCAAAGTAAGATTGGACATGACACAATTGGCTGATTGATGGATGAGCTGCACGATCTGCATGGAATTTTTATTTAAAATAAATTAGTTTAAATTATTTAGCACCTGCTGCACCTGTGTGCAGCCCACAGCTGGGGGAGAAGCTTCCTCCTGCAGCTGATCTCCGTGCAGAGGAGAGAAGTGGGTGTGGCCGAGAGTGCAGCCGGAGGCAGAGAGCTGAAATCATGACATGCTGTGCTCTTTTAGAGCATTTAGAGTTTAGAAACGTTGTTTAGAATTTTGCAAGAGTGTGGGAAGGGTTTAAAACATCTTTATACATAAAGATACACTGCCTGGCCAAAAAAAAGTCACCACCTGGATTTAACTAGACAAACAGGTACGAGCCTCCTGTTGGATCATTACTGCATGAGTGATCATCTTTCAGCTGCAACAAGTTATTTAACCCCAACTGGTGCAATGAGTTGCTTCTCATTTCTTCAACTACCATGTCTAAAGACACATCACGTGGTCGTGGAAAAGATCTCAGTCTGTTTGAGAAGGGTCAAATCATTGGCATCAAGCAGAGAAAACATCTAAGGAGATTGAAGAAACTACTAAAACTGGGTTAAGAACTGTCCAACACTATTAAAAACTGGAAGGACAGTGGGGACCCATCGTCTTCAAGGAAGAAATGTGTCTGGAAAAAATCCTGAATGATCGTGATCGGCGATCGATCACTTAAATGTTTGGTGAAATCAAATTGACGAAAAACAACAGCAGCACTCAGAGCTGTTTAATAGTGAAAGTAAGAACATTTCCACACGCACAGTGTGAAGGAACTCAAGGGATTGGGACTGAACAGCTGTGAAGCCTTAAAAAACCACTAATCAGTGAAGCTGACTGGAAAAAAAGGCTTCAATTTGCTAAGAAGCATAAAGATCGGACTCTGGAGCAATGGAAGAAGGTCATGTGATCTGATGAGTCCAGATTTACTCTGTTCCAGGGTGATGAGTGAATCAGGGTAAGAGGAGAGGCAGGTGAAGTGATGCACCCATCATGCCTAGTGCCGACTGTACAAGCCTGTGGGGGCAGTCTATGATCTGGGGTTGCTGCAGTTGGTCAGGTCAAGGTTCAGCAACAGTTTGTGCTCAAAGAACGAGGTCAGCTGACGACCTGAATGACCAGGTTATTCCATCAATGGATTCTTTCTTCCCTGATGGCACGGGCATATTCCAAGATGACTGCCAGGATTCATCGGGCTGGAATTGTGAAAGAGTGGTTCTGGGATCATGAGACATCATTTTCACACATGGATTGTCCCCCACAGAGTCCAGACCTGAATCCTTGGGATGTGTTGGAGAAGGCTTTGTGCAGTGGTCACAATCTGCCATCATCAATGAAAGATCTTGGTGATAAATTCATGCAACACTGGATGGAAATAGATCTTGTGACATTGCAGAAGCTTATCGGAACAATGCCCCAGCAAATCTTAAGGCGGTCCAACGAAATATTAGTGTGTGACCTTTTTTTTTTTGGTGGCAACATTTTTTGGGGCCAGGCAGTGTATATATACAGTAGTCCCTTGCTACTTCGAGGTTTGACTGTCGCGGACTCCCTCTATTGCGTTTTGTTAAAGTACAGTACTGTACATAATATTTAAAATATATATATATATTTATTTATGCGCCGCCATTTTGTAGGTTTCTTTCATTTTTCATTAAGCCTTCACTGTTTTGCCAGTCTAAAGAACTACCGTTACCCAGAAGCCATCAGTTCACTTCCCTTCACGACTGCTCTAACTACTCAGCCACAGCCGCCGCTAAATATTTAGTTTGGTTTAATACACTTCACATTTTGATTGCCTTTAGATTCTCCCTGTTTCACAGGTTTTTAAGACCTCTTCATTGGAAAGGCCTTCAAAAGTCCAAGCTCGTTTACTCTTCTTTTGACTGATTAAAAGAGTTTTTTTTTGTAAAGTCATCATAGTAAGTGTGTGCGAGTATCGCTCACTATGCGAGTATCAATATCACTGAAGAGCAAAAGTTAGGTGTGATAAATATCTTCCCTTTGTTTGTCCCATACATAATATTTGTCAAGTAAATTCAGGAAAATGTTTTCTGCACAAGGTCAGAAAATTAAAGCAACTGCTTCACAATTCAGGTCTACAGTTTCAGATGTTTATGTTTTTATCCCTCGTTCCACATCTTTGTATTAGTGTTTCATTGTGTTATAAAAGGCAATGGAAATGCAGCGTTTTGTCTCCTCCAAGCTTTTCTTTTTATTATCATGACATTATTTTCAGAAATCTAAAGCTGCAGACACGGTTATCTTAGTGTAAATTGGAGGGGGAAACAGCTGCTCCTAATGTCAACCTGACAAGATGTCAAGTCAGGCAGGTGTAAACACAAGGCACGTTTGTTAAACTGATGCAGACAGTGGCATTATCAGTGTGGTATCACAGAGGAATGTGTTTTGAGTGGCAGCAAAGGAAGTCCAAAATTTGAACACTGAAAAATTTGTAGCATGCGGTTGAATCGTGTGGACAAACAAAGAATGAGATAAATGCAGTAGGTTCAAGCTGTAATCAAAGGTCACTGTTGAAATATGTGGCAAATATTGATGCAGATGCACAAAACACACAAATAAAATAAAATTAAAACTTTATGAATCCCAAAGGGAAATTAAGTAATGATTGATACTGCAGTAAAACATCATCGTCTCTACCAAAACTCTGACTCGTCTCTCACGCACTCCGTGCCCAGCAGAAGCATCAGAGCCATTCGTCAACATCTTGTCCTCTCTACAGAGAGAACTTCCCTCATGTCTATATCTGATAATGGTGTGTGTCCTTGAAAGTGCCAACTATCCACAAACATACAGCAAGAGCTTAAAGGACGGTCGGGTACTAATGTGAAAAATAATACGAGGCGAGCAACTGGTGATGAGCAGAACCAGACAACAAAAATCCTGATGTTGGGATAAGCAGATGGGACACTTCACAAGATGCCAAAATAGATTTAACAGACAAAATCGAGTGATCTATAAAGACAAAAAGAAGAAGCTGCAGAGGAGAAAGATATGGGTAAAGAAGATCTGGCAGGGAGTGAGCTGTTCTTGCATCCAGTCAGCACAAGCTGTGACATCTCACACAAACGTACACTTACTTAGATCGCAATCACAGAGTGGATCTGAAGAAAACATAGATAGCACTGCTTCAGATGATTGCTGAAGGCTTTGAGGACAGAGCAGAGCGTGTAATCAGCTGCTGAGAAGACAACTGATAGAGCCTCCATCTCTCCAGTGTGTCGCACCCTGATACTTGCACGTTTACCACCACTGGCTTTGGCACGAACCGCCAAACCTCCTACACTTTCACTGAGCGCAGAGGTGACACGTGGTTCACAGCCATGCGAGTGTGTGTGCAGCAGAGACTAGGAGCCACCAGCAGGGTCTGTCTGACTCCCACTGAACATCAAACTGGAAAAGGTCAGCTGAGTAAATAAGCAGCAGGCAGGGGAGTGGGGGATTAATAGCAGAGAGTGGGTGAGAGGGTGAAAGGGCCATGTGCTGGGGTTTGTGGCCTTCACGCTGCCAACCTTTGATGTAGGCTCACTATAAAGTGCTCACAGGGGAAGGGACAGAGCTCTCAGAGGGTGGAAACTCTTAGAAGAGCCACACAATGCTCCTCTCACTTCAAGCTGCAGGCCTTCACAGAACGTAGACAAGGATTATGTGAAATATTGGCCGAGTTGAGCTCCGAAAGAGGTTTGAGGAATGTTTTGCTGAGAGAGAAATATCACAGAAGTTTTTTGAACGAGATTCTTTGTAGCTAAAAGAAAGGAGCCTCAAAGCTTCTGCGAAAAGAATAATGCCAGTGGACCAGCTTCAATAGGTCGGTTAAAGGTTTGGTGGAAAATGAGCTTTTCTGAAAGAGAACATGAAGGAAAAACCAGCTGTATCAGTTGTCTGAAGAGGCACTAAAAACTTTCAAGTCTGGTATATGTGAAACGGCACATCCACTCACGGAGCTGACAACCATGGGTGGACATAAAAGCAGCCCACCTGTCCAAAAATCTTTTCAACATGGAAGTCATGGGAAAAAGAAAGCCTTTTTACAATCCTACAGTTTGCACCTAGGGACATATTAAAAAATGATCTGGTCTTTTGCAGGTTCTAAAATGATCTGAATCTAACCTCACATGTACAAAAACACTCAACAGATCCCACCAAGTCATTATTTATTCAACAAAAAACAAAGCCAAAATAGAGAAACTGTGTGAAAATCCTAGGTCCACTCCATGAATCAACAGCTTGTTGAACCTCTTTTAGCAGAAATAACTCCCAGGGCTCATGTTCTCTAGGACTATCAGCTTCACATGGCTGTGAAACTTTTGCCCACTCCTCTTTACAGCATAGTTTAAAGTTTTTGTTTCTGCATAGACTT